CCCCAATGACTTAAAGAAATGTTTTAGATGTATTTTAATATGTGTTTTGTTTAATCTTTATCTATCTTTGAAGTGTTGTTCTCGTTACTGGAATTTGTCATGCTGTCTGCCTAATTAGAATTGGAGAATATTTTTGTTTGCAGAATAGTTTGTTATTGCTATGTTGAAACTTGAGGTCTAACTTGCTTTTTGGAATCTTACGGTTTTCGTATTGATGTGCAGTTACTTAGTATTTCTCACCATTTGCTTGTGAAATAGGCAGGTTGTTAGGTCTTTCTATAGAAATTGAATATTTTATTATCCCTGGCAGTATACACTAAAAATAAACTAAACAAATTACTTGACTAAAGACATTACGGCATTTATATTTGTGTAACTGAAATGTATTTTTGTATTTGCTGCTTAAGGAATAAGTCCTGGCTTCATTGTATGCTGTGCTGTGTGGTTAATTTCAGTTTTGTGTACCTGTGTAGCCTGAACATTTTGTTGTACATGTTAGAATTTGACTGAATATTTTATGTACTAATAAGTGTGTAATAGGACATGCATACTAATACAGGTCCTGTCAGACTTGACACAGTTCATGTTATGTGGCTTCACCTACTGATCAATGGTAATAACAGCATTAATAAGGACATACACTAGATTTAAGAACATTTTTCTCACTGCTGTAGTTTTGCAGTTCCTGCAGCTGTGAAACTTTTATGTGACTAAACGCATTCTCTGTTGCTATATTGTACAGTGACTCTAGCTGTCGACACAATCGGTGAATTTACCTCCCATGTAAGACTTCAGTTCCCCTTAGAATATCATAGTTTGAATATCATTTGTATTTTGTGCCTGTGTAAGGGACTTTAAGCAACATGAGATGCAAGAGTGATTGAAAATCATATTCAGAACTCAAGATCAGGGTTTATATTTTCCTTTTATTTTTGGTTCTGTTGTATTTATTACCAGCAGTTGTATTAAAAATAAACTTCTGTGCTGAGCAATTGGGCTCTTTGATGTTATTGACATTACAGCTATTTTATCTTTGAGGTCAGCCAACTGTGCATATATATGTAAGTACAGCTGATTTCAGCTTATTACAGTATTTACTTTTATTGTTGTATCAAATATGTAGCTAACACAGGTAAAAGTTAGCCTGAACCAGGTTAAAAAGTAACACCATAGTAGGGTATTTGTTGTATAAGTTTACAATCTCTAAATATGCAGAACTGTAAAATGAATAAAGTAGCAGTTTTTGAACTTTGGCTCCATTTAGGTTTTATTTTGAAGAGAAACATTTGAGGTGGTGCGAAGGTTAACACTTGCCTCACACTCCTGAGATTGGGGTTTGAGTCTCTGTCCTGTCTTGTGTTGTCGTGGGATTTCTGGTTTTTCCCATCAGTCCAAAAACATGCTAAGGTAAACTGGTGTTACCAAATTGCCTGTGATTGGTTGGTGTCCCATCCATTCACTTTCCCTTCTGGGTTCTGTGTTTTTGGACCGTGGGGGGAAACCAGAGAAAACCCCACGATGACATGGGGAGAACATGCAAACTCCACACACATGTAATCCAGGCAGAGAGCTGTGAGGCAACAGTGCTAACCACTGCACCACCATGCCGTGGTTGGAGCACCAGCCTGGGTTATTCCCTACCTTGCACCCATAGCTTCCAGGATAGTGTCCGGACCCCCACAACACTGCATAGGACAAGTGGGCACAGAAGATGGATGGATGTGAAATGAATAGATTTCTAATATTTTATTTTTGCAATACAACTTTTAAAAATAGAATTTTCTATTTTAAAACTAGAAGTTGTTCTGGAAAGTTTGGTCTCTATTTTGTCTGAGGTGAAAATACTATTACAGCATTGCCTTCTAATATTAATTGGACATTATTTCAGGTTTGTAGTTAGTCGTGTGAAATATTTAATTCTTTATTAAGAAATATCAAAATATCAATATTAATTCTTCTTTCAAATTATATATAGACAAAGCTGATGTAATTGCATCACCTATGCAAAAGCAAGAAACAAATTGACTTATTTAGCAAAGGAAATTAACTAAAATGCTGATCCCTACTGAGGAAAAAGTAACCTGTGTTAGTAACCCTATGCCCTAATAGCTAGTATTTCCCCCTTTGGCTGAAATAACTTCAATGAGACGTTTCCTATAACCATCTATCAATCTCTGACGTCGGCTGGCAGAAAGATTTCCCCACTCTCCAATGCAGAATTCCTTAAGCTGTGTGATATTTGAAGGGTGTCTTGCATGCATAGCCCACCTCAAATCACCCCACAGCATCACAACTGGGTGAGAGCATCTCTGAAACAAGGCTTGTAGGGTGCACAGTGTTGGAGAAGTAACTCTCAAAGGAAATCCATTACAGACAGAGGTGGAAAGTTTAGGTCCAGTATAAATCCAGACCAATGCAAACCCCGCAAGCCTTGCTGTTTCAGAGATGCTCTCACCCAATTGTCTGGCCATAATGATTTGGCTCTTGTCAGATTCACACAGATCATTACCCCTGCCCATTTCTTCTGCATTCAACATGTTCCAAATGTTAGCTTACTGTTTAATATATCCCAGACAATGACACGCACTGTCTACGAGATCATCGTTATTCACTTCACACGGTGGTGGTCATAATGTTTTGGTTCATGGGTGTATATTGGTATACTTGTCTGGTTTGCGTTTGACACAGTATAGTTTAATCTGATCTTTGGCTATTCATTACAACATAATATGCATCCCTGTGGCACAATTATGACTTTGAACTAACTGCCTGGTGTTGAGAGCTTTTTTTTCAGGTAATTTTGACAAGTGCCTTACACTTTAACCACTGTCAATCTTTGTACCTTTGACCATTTAAGAAAAGTAGACAAGGCTCATTTTCCTTCTCAGAATCATCTGGAGCAGCAGGGTGAACAGATGCACCTAGCGCATCCCAGGTAGCTGGCTTAGGACATCATGTGCACACCTTGCTCTTAAGAAGAAGATAGACAAAAGATGCTGCTCCTGCTTTTAATCGTTTGTGGCTTTTTCGGTTCTGGTAAGTTTCACAAATTCTTGGAAACGTGACCTTTGGTGTAAATATTACTGAAGCATCTTTATAAACTGCAGAACTCCAAGCTGGTATTATTATTTATTTGCATTTCTTGATAGGATTAAAATACGTTCATGCTACTTTTTGTTGTAATGTTATGACCATACTAGACAGTCATCAGTATCTATGAACCTGTTGCAAGGTGGTAGCTGACATTTTACAAAGTTGGGGGTTCAGTTCTGCCTTATTTGTCTGTATTTTATGTTTGAATGGGTTTCCTCCAGAGACTGGGCCACTCTCACTATTCTAGGACGCTTAAAAGAATATGCTCGTTTCTCCTTAGATAAGCATTATAAAGGCTGGAGTGAAACCTTTGAGACATCTTTAGATGCTATAATAGTGTCATAAGATAAAACACCTTTTTATGTCACATGTGACAAGTCTGTATTGTGGTGAATCATTATAAAACTTCATGGCAGTTAAATGACTTTCACATGACATGAATGTGATGGATATGAACTTTGCTGGAAACAAGTATTTTTGTGCTTATTCTAATGTCTGTGAATAAAACTTCCCCATGCAGAAAAGTTGTTAGATTTTCTCAGTTGTAAATGATGAGAATGACAATATTGTAAAACGTTTTATCACGCCATCTTTACCCCTTTTTTTGTGCAGCGTTTCCTCAGTGTGATCCAGGCTGGCGGCCATACGAAGAAAAATGTTACTTTTTCTCTGTTGATACAAAATCCTGGAGTGACGCGCAGGCAGACTGTGAGGGAAAGAGCAGCAACTTAATGAGCATCCTGGACATTAATGAGAGGGTAGGAGAAACCCTGAGTATAGCTAGAGGTCTTAGAATATACCGCTTGAATTCATAATTGTACATCCTGACACAATGTGTTCATTGTTGAACAATTGACAAGTAATTGTAAGTAAACCTCTGGCACTAGGAGGTAATACCATGTACTCCATCTCTCAGGCCCAGTCGTACCAATAGGTCCCTCAGCAGATTTTGTAGACCAGGGGATAGGAGCTGATTTTGGGGAGGGGAGGGGCTCATTAGCATCCTTCTCATTAGTCTTAGTGCTTCTTACAGCCACCTGCCCAAATGTCAGTGCTGATACTTTTAAAGCTGTTATAACAACTTAAAAAAAACTGTAATTCAAGTGATGATGTCAGCTGTGGCCTTTGTCCTGTCCCTCTAGACATGGGTACGGACTCAAGTTGGGACAGACATCTACTGGATTGGGCTAAATGACATCGTTTCCGAGGGTGTGTGGGAGTGGAGTGACGGCAGTGTCTACTATCCCTATCTAGCGTAAGTAATGCAGAAATACAGAAGTGAGATCACTAGCTAACTATATTCGTCTTTACATACTATCATATAGACAAGGAAATATTTTGCGATTGACCGTTTTTTAAACCAGAAGCCAAAAGTCCTTTTCACATAGAAATCTTGTGTAGGTATTGGAAACCGGGGCAGCCTGACAACTGGGGCGACGATGAGGACTGTGCTCAAATTATTGGGGCAAACAATGGCCAGTGGAATGATGAGCCGTGCAGTGTCAGACGGCGTTACATCTGCAAGCGGCCCAATCGTACGTTGCAGTCCCAACCCTTCCAGAAGATGGCGACTTAAGTTACATTTGGATAAAAAGTAACGGGAGATATACCAATGAATGTATTTTGTGTTTATTGTCCTTACCAAGAATTCTCTCCATCTTAGCAAACCCACCGATAACCTGTGACACGACCCACGGATGGCACCAGTTTGCTTCCAGTTGTTACAAGTTGAAACATTCCAGGGAGAGCTGGGCATCAGCGAGGCTCGAGTGTCTG